AGGATCTTCCATTATAAGTTCTTAGAGTTTTGGACAGAGCAGAGGTGCTCCAAACAGCAGAGCCAGCAGACAGGGAGACTCAGGTTAGTATGCTTTTATCATTCAGGTATTTGGTGACTGCAACTGCAAACTTCATGCTGGGGATGGACAATTTGGACTCTCAGTCACTATTTTATTAGCAAACTCCAGAGGTACCATGAAAGTATAGCCAAATCTAGTTAGACCTGTCTCCCTAACAGCAGCCACTAGTATTTCATGGCCCCAGCTGAGTCCTCAGATGTGGAAGTAAGTAGAGAATGCGTATAGTTTAGTGTGCATTGTTGATTTGTTCAGCCCACTAAAATAAGTTAAACACCAAGCCTACCTCCTCCGTGAAGGCTTCATCACTTTTTCTGCTAGGTCTTCAAGAGAGCCCATCCCTGCTTTTTAACAGAGCAATTGCAGATCTGGACAGGAACGCAGGAAGGCAAGCAGTGACTTTACTCTGCTGGCTAATTTCTCCAGAGAAGTCTTCCCAGCAATGGAAGGCTGCAAACAGAAAAGATATCAAGATTGTCCAGTACATGTTGTCCTAGGTTGGAGGCAAGGAGCTCAACTATATGAAGAACAATGCCGTGATCAGGCAAAATAAACCAGTGATTATACAAAGAGGCTGGGACCCTTGGGCGCTGTAGCTGCGGACCTGCAGACTGCTATTCAGTCTGACTGGAGGGAGCATACCATTCTGAACCGGTGGCCAGGAGCGCGGACCTGTCAGCACAAACTCACCCAAGGCTAGGATCATTACGCAGCAGTCTCCAGAAAGGTGGGTACCGCACCGCGTAGCTCACGAGCAGCCCGCCACGTCAGCCTGCTGCACGGATGGCCTCGGCAGCCAACCCAGGCCGACTTAACTGGTCACACGTGGCAGAGTTCATCTGAACATACACAACCACCACTAGCCTGGACTCCTGAATTGTTTCTGCTGTGACCAAACTGCCAGGTGGAGTCTTCAGATCACACCCAGACAAGTTTACAGGCTGGGTGTGAGGGGCTGAGGGGGTGGGAGGGTGGAAACAACGCCTGCGAGAGCCTGACAGTAGGAGTCCCTTCCCAAACAAGAGAACTTCACGTTGTTTTCCTAGGCTGCGATGGCTTAGCATCACCACTGAAGTCATTAGACAGTCTCTGAAAGGGAACAAAGGTTCTTGAATAAAAAGTATAATTTACAAGCGGATGTGCTAAGCACAATCACTACATCACAAGCCACATATAATGCTGGCGTTTTGCTTAAACAGCTAGGGGAGAGGAGGCCTCTTGTTCTCAGCTCTGCAGCAGACTCCTTTGCAACCAACATCACTGTGCTCTCTCCACCTCTTTTACCACCTGGGAAGTAACTTCCCTACTAAGTAAGGATGCTGGGAAACACAGTACGAAGTGTTTCAGGGCTTTCCAATACACAGTATTATGAGACTGGAAAACCCTACTTGACATTCCAGTTGGGATGCCAGCTCCAGCCAAAGGCAGGGAGGAAGGGAAAGAAAGAGAAAGACAATGTCGCCTGTGTGTAAGCAAATGAGAAGTTAGACCTGAATAGCCACGAGGAATGAGACAAAAAAGCAGAACAAAGCACCTTTCACCTCGAGCAACAGCACAATGCTGCCTTAAAAAAAACAAACAAAAAACCATGTGACATTACATACAGCTGAGACACACAAGTGCAGAAATAGAAAAACTGAACAAGCATCAGAAAGTTGTATCATTGGGTTAATTTTCAGAGATTTACTAGAATGCATGCAAGAGATTTATCACAAAACCAGTTGAACTCCATTGTATTTCAACAATAGGTTTATTTTAAGAAACATAACATGACATTAAGTAAAAATGCAAAATTGTGCAATTATGGCAAAATGTTTAAAAATCCACACATTTGCCCTCATAGGACTACAGTACTTCTTACTAACATACCTGAGCACTGAATGTTGTATGCCATTTCTAAACAGCCTTACGAACAGGGAGCTCTTCGACTTCTTGTAGAACATACACACGCTGCGTGTTTGCTGCACCAAAACTGCTCTTAGTTATTCTACATTTTACTGATGGAATCAAGTGGAAATTACAAAATGCTTCCTTCTAAAGTAACTAATAATTTTGAAAGAGAGATTTACACTCACATAAGTTCTTACAATGCTAGAAATTCATTTAATAAAGGGAAATAAATGAATGCAGAAAAAATACCAAGTGGGAAAAATGTACAGATTACTGTTTAAATATTATCAGTACCTTTGGTGCAATTATTTCTTTTTTTGTGCTGTGCAAGTTTACTTAAGCCTGACTCTAAAGCAAAACTTTACCAGGAATCTGACTTTCAGCAAAACGCAGAAGCATTTAAGAATTGGCAAAATGTCACAGCTACATTACTGTCTCAACAAACTCCTCATGCACAAGATTTAGTATATTCTACTCCCACGGCAAGTTCCAGGATTTAGCTTTTAAACACATTACAGACTTGGATCACACCCTCAGTTTGAATGGTTAAACAGAATGGAGATCTTCGTACTTTAGTGCAGATAAACAAAATTAACAAACCTACTGCAGAATTAACCACAGCATATTGTACTTCTATACATCACATGACCAGTCAATTGCTAACTCAATTCTATTTCATAGTTTCAAGTAATATATTGAAATTTGTTCTACTAAATAAATATAGAAGATTGTCAAAAAGCAGCAAGAAGTCTTGTAAATATTCAACCAAGCTTAAAAAAAAAAAAAAACAGAAAACAAGAAAAAAGTTACATAACACTTTGCAAAAAAAAATGGTTTTACACACAAATGCAACACTGCTAGGGAGGGTGCTTCAGAAAGCTTGCAGCTAGAGGCCTACAACAGCGCAAAGAGAGCTAGCCAAGGATTAAGGATAATTTTAAAAATGAAATTAGTTGTATTTTTAAAAACAACTCTTATTCTTGGCTATAGATATATAAAAAACAGTATCCAGAAGAAAACTAAACAAAAAAACAACACACCTCAACACTGTTGGAAAATGCAGTCTTAGCAAGAATTGTCAACTTCAACTTCAGAAAAAAAATTCAGGCGCTCACATTTGAAAGAAGCGGTTTGGTGAGTCTCTGGAAGATGAGGTATGTAATGCAAAGAGGCATTTTTTTTTCCTTTTCATTTCACAGTTTTTTGTTTGTTTTTGACTTTTAAACATTTTGTGCAAGAATTAAGAAATAGAACCAGGCGAGTATTTTCGTGTGTTAGAAAGATTCCATTTGGTAACAGTAAGACCACATAGTAAACAAACATGATCCAAATCCTCAGCCATGCCAGGGGGATAAACAAGGAGCTAAATATTTGGCCTACTGAAATATCAGCTGTTAAGCCAGATAATGGTAAGCACTTACAGCCAGTGATGGCCACTGCCATTTCAAGTTAACTGGTTTACTTAAGTCAGTTTGAGAAAATAGGGAAAAGAAAGAAAACATACTCGCAAGTCTGCAAAAATTAGAGCTGTAACAAATTAAACCTGGCAAATTACAGCTGATACGAGTTTTAGGAATGATCTTTTCCCTTTTAAATCCAGTTTTCACTACTAAAGTAGAGGCTGAACTTTGAACTTATTTACTTCTTAAAAATAAGCTAAGTGTTAAATACATAGAGAAAAGTGTTGCAATATATTGAATCCCTAGTCTAAATTTGCATCTAAGATTATTTAAGCCATGGACAGTTATTGTCAATTTTGCTTTAATACACTGGATAGTGAAGACAGCTCAGTAGTGCAAATTTTCACATTACAGATCAGAATGAAATAGAAGGTATTTGAGGGCTTGATTGCGGGGAGAAAAAAAAACAACTTGTAAAGTTAAGCCACACTTCTCCAAATTACTTGAGTACATGCCAACTCTGCACATAGCACTGTACTTTAGTGGAGACAGAATGAACACTCCACAGAAAAAAAAAATTAAAATCCATATTATTAAGGCCATATCCTGTCACCATTCTGTGCAAGAATACCACTGCAGTAAAAATGTTATGTTAAAAAAGACGATATGATGACAGGATAAGGCCTGAAGACGGACACACACTCCACGAAAAATAACAGGCTGTCTTAAACAGTAGCATAAGGCTAGCGCACTTCAGACAAACAAGTATTAAAAACGTACTAGCACCATCAACTTTTGGGTTAAAGCCCTTTATGGGATGAAAAAAAGGTTTTAAGCAATGTTAAAAAAATGTTTTTACAGCACTACATCTATGTGGCAGAAAACAGGTGTTGGGATTTCCCCCCCATCATTAAGCTCAATTTTAACAAAAATCCACAGGCAGGAAGTGGTACAGTGCCTCCGTCCAGGGCAAAGGTTCTCCATGTTCCATTTCTGACTTGAGTTTTTCTCCCAAACTGTAGTGCACAAACAACATCACAAACATCTTAGCAGACTTCAAGAACAGTACAAAAAAAAAAAAATCATTATGAATCAGGATCTACAATTCCTCTATGTACTTTCAATCTAAAATTAAAAAAAGGAAAAAAAAAACAAAACCAAAAAACCACAACCTAGTGATATTGCCTCAAATTTTACCCGTATTTAAAAAAAAAAAGAGAAAAAAAGAAAAGTCACTTCAAAACATCTTGGACATCCTTAGCTATTAATGCTAGATTTTCTTTCACTGTAGTGCATAGTTATCCTGGCTCTTCCACTTAATTTGCTCTTACCACAAAAACACCCCCTAGTATGACATGATTAAGTGTTTACCAGAAAAAAAATGCTGATAATTGCACTTTGTAACCTCCTTCTCATTTCCCAGGAAAATATCAGTAAATATGAAACTGAACCAGTAACTCCCTCCCCAGACTGCAACCTTTAAAGAGCACCCATCCCCATATACAAAAAACCGTCTGTTTCAGCTTACAATAAATACTGACAGAATTTCTTTGTTTTCTTTTAAGACATGTTTTCTCTAGCATCAGATTACCACTGAAATCACTAAGGCCTGTTACTGAAAAAAAAAATTTTTTAAATAACTTTCTGAAGACACTGCGGATACAATTTAGCAACAACACATTCAAAATGCCGGCCTAAATCCCAGAGCCTATCTGGAGTCTCGTATACTTTTTGCCATTGGTCAGTAACCTCATCATACTGGTAGAGTGAATTCTTCCTGCTGGTTCTGAAAACATGTTCTTCAACAGTGACTTGAGTAGCTCTGACAAACAGATGGAGTTTATTTTTGAGGAGTACGAGTTTTATATATGGATTAATGGACTGATCACATGGAAAGTCTTTTTTTCGAGTCCACTTATTTTGTTCAATGTCATAGGCCTCTACGGTAAACATACGTTGATGGTTTCCACAGGTTCCAGCTATGTAGTAGATGGAGTCATTGTATACAGTTGCCAAGCCTTGGATTCTAGGCACAGTCATTGGGGTCAAAAATCCCCAGTAATCCTTCTGAGGATCATAGCAGAGAAAAAATTCCCCTGAAAAGAGAGAGGAAAAATAAAACATAACTTATGCTTCATTTCCAGAACAGCAATTCTGCAGCTACTAAGATTTCAGGTATGTTCTTCCACAGACAGAAACAGTCTACCAATTTTTAAAAGCCTTGATCCCATAACAAAACACCTAGAACCATCGCCTGCTTTCTTCCAAGTGCATTACAGCAATATTAATAGCATGAGTAAAAGCTACTCTGAGTTTCTGTTCCAGCTGAAGAAGAGGGAATTTGAAGCATATCAGAAATACAATGTTTTACACATTTCCTAGCTATCCCTTACTACTTCTAAACCATGCTTAATAATTTGGGACAAACACCTGTCAAGATTCCAGTCTTGAAATGTCTGAAGTATTTGTTTCATTATTTCACATCTTCACAACGAGTCATCTACAGATCATGGAGCCTCAGAATTCAGTGCTTGAAAGTTGTTAAATCAGAGCAAATAACTGCGTCTTGTACTACACACAGATTTTGAAGCTACTTGTATCAGGTAGCTGGGTTACACATTTAGGTTGATTTGCTTAAAAGGATACCAGGTGGATACTTGCATGAAGCTACTGATTCATCGTTACTTTTGCGATTAGATCGTAAAACACCTCTTCTGTTGACTGCACAGAGTAGCATCTACAGGCTGGTGATAACAGAAGTTCAGATGACTGAAAGCTCATGCTCTGCAAACTTGATGAAAAGAACATGGATAAAGACCACCTTGTCTTTCGTAAAGCCTGGGGGAAGAAAGGCCTAACATTTGCCAAATATTAGCGTAATTTAAATCACATATAATTTCACATGGCTATTTTAAGAATTTTAACCAAGTCGCTGTGTAACCGAGCACCTCAAGTATAACAAAGAACACAGAAATAATACAATTGGGTGGAACATAGCTTAAGAGATTAGGTCTTACAGATAATACATTTTTTGATTATTCATTTTTGTTCTACAGTGTAATCTCCTACGACTGATGCGTTCCACTGGCATTTTAACACTCTCATCAATCCTTATTGACTCCTTCAACCTTATGAGCTTTCTCTAGAAAAATTATTGAAAGTTAACTTTTTTTATACTACTTCAGTGCAACTCAATCAAGGTTTTATCTACCGCATTCAAATAGAAAAGTTGCCTATTTCCCATAACACGAATGTTTATAATTTGCTGGTTAGCACAGTGAGGTAGCTTGCTTATTTATGCAAGCACTGAGTTGTTGTTTAAACCACTGAAGCACAGAATTAGTGCAGCTAAAATTTGTAAACAAGATGCACTCTTATTCTATAGGTTATAATAATATTCACTTTTTAGCACTTCTAAGAAATATTTAAAGGATGAACAAATACTCTACCAAGTTAAATATTCTTCAGCATTCCTTTTTAACCATCCAAAGCAGATGTCTGACTCAAAAGAAGAGACAGCTTGAGAGAACTTGCTAGTGTAACAGAATTATTTAAAGCCACAACCAACAAGAGTCAAACCTGATACAGAAACCATGAAATAAGAAGAAAACTCTCTGCAAATCATGTGGAAGCCCACCAACCTTACCGAGTAGTAGGAATGCAAAGTCAAGAAATCAGGTTGACTTCTTCCGGTAAATAACAATGACCTTACAGTATTCTCAGTCCTGTTTCTTTCCTGTGGTCCAGCTTTGTATGGAGAGTGACCCAAAGAGGGAGCTGGTATGGATTTAAGGCCCCAGCTTCTGCAGGTGTTTACACAGAGGTGGCCCTTAGCAAAACATAACCAAGACACCCCTTCCTCCTTTCCTTCCACTTCTTGGGACTCTTACTACAACCTCATAGACCAGCCTCAGCACTTTTAAGTGTAGACTGCTATATGGCTCATGCATACATACAAATACATATTTTATATGAGATCTCCATAAATAAAATAAAGGGAAGAATAAATTATTTGATCCGTTCCCAGAATGATCCCTTTTATTCATTTAAGAATCAATATCTAATACACCAATAAGTCTGATCATTTACCGGAAGAAAGGATGTAAAGGCAGTACTATAATTACTGACCAAAGAAACAGAGCTAACTAGAAAGAGATCATCTTTCTTAGCTACCAGGACGACTTGAAAAAGCAGGGTAGGGCAGGAAACGAAGGCCTACAGTGGTTAGTTGACTTTTGCATGTCACCAAGAACACAGACACCAGGAATTTTCACAGGTTTAGCTAAATAAAATGCAAAGTGCTTTTTCATAGGACAATATCTTTTCTTTAACATTAGTGCATTTCACTCAGATAAAGCAGATTTAATAACGAATTTTCACAGTAAAATTTAATACTACACTGTTGACTTAGAACACCACCAAAACTGCCATTTGTGCAGTAACTCAATACTATAACTTAGTGACACATTCCCAGGGTACGAGAACCAAAGCAGCAACCTCACTCTTCCTCGCCCGCTGCTCTCCCTAGCTTTCCTCCCACCCCGTTGTCCCAGGGCACTCTTTAAACATCCAGGAAACTTGGGTTTTCTACAGTGCTTAAGAGAGCACAGACAGTCAGATTGAACAATCCCCACTTCCAATAAAACACCATATAGTCAGTCAAACCACCTTACCCTGTAAAACATAGATGTTATCCTTATATTCCACAGCACTATGAAACTCCATTGCTACTGGCATTGGACAGACAGCTGTCCAACAGTTCTCTCGGCTGTCATAACACTCCACAGACTTGAGTGAGTTTCGCCCATCTCCTTCATAAACACGACCACCTATTGCATACAGTTTACCACAGCAATGAACCAATTTGCAGCCTATTCTGGCTCGCAACAAAGGAGCTTTCGGAATCCACCTATTGCCAGAGTGATCATACATCCAAAAATCACTCTCTGCTCTGTGGTCAATGGAGACCTCGCTGCTGCTTGGTCTGTAACCACCCGCAATATAAATATCATTATCAGGAGATACAAGTATTCCAACCTCCCTCAAGTCATTTGGTGGCTTGCATAGTTTAAACACTCTCCCTGTGACTGAATCTAAACAAGGCACTGTTTGCTTCTTTCCTGAGTGTTTGTGGGCAGCATCAAAGCATATGATCATTTCAGAAGCGGTCATTCCAAGCCGTTGCGTATAGCCATTGGCACTATGTTGTCCCTTTTGTACACAGCTTTTGGCCATAGCCTGTGCAAACATGGGAGGGATTTTCTCTAAAAATGTCTCTTCCAACAGAGGCATACGGATGCATTTGGCAAATATTTCTGGAAGGTGCACTTCTCTCTTATTTTGTTCATGCTCAAACCACCTTATAATGCTGTCATAAACATGTTCTTCTTTGTCTACATTTAAATCATCACTGTCGAGTATACTTATCAGTTGGTCTTTTCTCAACTGAAGAAATTCTTGCTCTTTGGTGACACTCAGAAACTTTTTACGAATGTAGTCCTGTGATCTGTCTTTGAGTTCCTGATGACCATAGTGATCAGCAAAGATAAACACCCCAATGGAGTTCTGTGGGTCCAAATGACTGATCATGTATTTAGCACACTGGTCTTGTATGGAAGGGATCTGGAAGATACTAGCTGCAGTGAACAAAGCTTGAACGTTGGCCTCTGTCAGCATTACTCTGGAGGTATATGCATAGTTCAATACTAAATGCATTGACTCTGCTTCAACACCAACTATACGAACTTCTTTCTGGGTACTCTCTGTAAGGCCGCTAGTGAACATAGATCTACAAAAGAAAAATATTTAGCAGTTTATTTGCAATTACCTTCTAACTACAGATGTAAGAAATGAAATTATACTGTACAGATAACCCCAATGGGCTTGCCCTTATATCAGCACAAATACATTTATCACTGATGTTACACCATCCTGTTTGGGTACCTAAATTTAAGATCAGTTCTAGACTTACTGAAACAAAAGTGGCAAGCTGGAATTTCTTGCTGAATTATCTCACTAACCCCATATTAAATTTCACTCAGTTCACAAGCAAAGCTTCTGACATCCAAATCTTTGCACTCAACTTTCAATATGTTATTTCTTATGCATATTCTAGTATGCTAGAATATGCAACTTTAAAAGGAAACAAGTAATTTAACTATGCTGTTACAGTATCCAAGATAATCTCAATACTGGAGGCATTTTTGTTTGGATTTTTAAGTCATGTGACATTTTCTCCAATGAAACTCCCCTTTGACAGACACTGATAATTCATTGACTTTAAAAGAACAATAATCTTTACTTACTAGGTGCACTACATTATCGATAGTTACATGGAATATTAGGATAGGTGTGATTTTTTTCTAATTTTCATTTAAAGAAAATAAGTTATAATTCTGCTTTTGATCACCACTAGAACAATAGACTATTGTACCTGAAATAAGGACTGATTGCAGCAAGAACATTCCTATGACAGGAGAATGTTTTCCCATGATCCACTTCCACTACGATATCTGTCAGCTGTCCTTCATCATACATGGTTTTAAGCTGTTGAAGAATACTACAGGCATGGAAGGGGTCCATTCCACTGCTGACTGTGTTTGAAGAAGGAATTCCGTTCAGTGTTTGTGAAAACTTACTTGGTTCTACAAAGCAAAATTGAAACTGTTTAACAAAAACCAACCAACCAAAAAAAAACCAACCCCCCAAAACCTCCCACACACACCAAAAAACCCCATGCATGAACAAGAATTGGCACAAATTAATATTCCATACATCCTCACTGTCACCATCCATCAACAGCAAGTCTAAAATTTTCAAAGGTAAGTGAAGATATAAAGATACCTCCATTACTTTTTTTTTTTTCTCCTTTTCCCAAGGTACGCGTAGGTTACCATTAGCCTATAAAATTATATCCATTAATACTAAGAAAAAATACATATAAATAGTTCATATTTACTACATATCACCAAGGAGGAGGGAAATTAAGTCAAGAACCACAATACTTACTGACTTATAAAATGGGAAAAACAAAGAATGCAGAAGAATAAAATAAGTCCCCAACCTGTATCGCATTGCAAGTCGATATGTACATACTTAACTCCACACTGAAACGGGAACTGGCTACTAACTTACACAAGTGATGGTTAATAGCATAGACTCACGAAGAAACAGCCTGACAGTAGTAAGCATGTTGGGCAACAAACTTAAATTCACATACATTTGTATATACGGTTACATGTTTTTCTTTACAAATAAAATACAATTACCATTTAAAATTACTCAGGTATGAAGGAGCTCGCATATCATTGTGAAAACGTATGAAGTAGAGCATATGCTCCTAAGTAACATGTGATATGCCTAATGAAGTAAATCCAAAAGCGAAAATTGAGCAATGTCTTAAGCACAAAAATCTGTTTCGTAATAGCAACAAAATTTTTATGCAACAATAACAAAGGAGAGCTCAAAAGGAAAACATTAGGTGGCGAGAGCTGCAAATCAGGTAAAGCTGCTGACTGCAACAGAGAATGCTTCCAACAAATTTTGGGCAACACAAAGGGGCAAAGAGGATAGCGAACAACAATTGTTGATGATGAATAGGAGATTTAAATTCTAACTCGTGGCGATATACAGCAGTTACAATTTCTCTTACTCAGAATTCAGACACAGCTTTGAGCACAGTCACAATTAAATCAGTAGGGAACTGCTGTTGGGCATGCATTTCCCATAGCAGGCTTGAGGCCAAATATTGTCAGTGTCTCTTCAAAGTACTGTTAGGAAAAGTCCTCAAAACACTTTTTTTTTTTCCTAAATACAATAGTAAACACTTAAAGGTAAGACCTACAACAGGGGAGTTTACTTTATCACAGTAACTGAGCTCCAACATTCAAAAGTAACCAATCATTAGGGAAAGGGAGAATTTGTACTTGTACTTGTTCAGAAACAACGTTAATCACTAGCGAGCAAATTCCAAGTAAATAATACTTTGCTATATCAGTTCCAAGGCTCCCTACCTAGCAAAGCTTTGATGTACAAGAAAACTTTGATGTAGCTACCATTGCAGAAGAGTTTCATTTACTTTCTAACAATGAAAAAGATGCAAAACAGTTCTTCTCTGACCCTGCCAGTCACTCGGGCAGCAAGCACACGAGACCAAGGCAGCTTCCAGCGCTGGTGGACTCAGCCAGGAATAGATACTCATACCTGTATTCCAGTTTTTCTATTTAATCCTTGACACTATCCACATTACAGGTTTCACGCCGTAAAACCTTCCCAGTCACTTTCATCACCTTCATTTTCTCCCTCCCACCCCAAGCATCTTTCTCCTCCATTAATATTCCTCTCACTTGCATCTCAAAATTTTAACTCTGTTCCTCCCAGACATCACCCCAAAACTCTCCACATCAATTTCTCAGACACCTCTCCCTTCTCCACTCCCCACATAACCACCTTCATAGAAGCCTTTCATCACGGACAACCCCACTCCTCCCTCCGGGCTCAGCTCCCCTCACACAGACCACAGCATGGGGGTGCCCTTCACAGGAAACCCTCCTTCCACAAACTGCCCACCCTAACAAAGCACAGTACCACTGCACAGCTCCCCTCACGCCGTACTGCTCTCTCCCCATATACAGGCCCTCAGTCTGGAGTCCTCTTACCTCGTCCCCCACAGACACCCCCGAGGCACCCCTCTCTACTATCGCCTTCCCATCAGGAGGCGACACCCCACACTGCAGGCCCCTCATCCAACCACTCTCAGGCCTCCCAGGGCCCACCCGCCCCTCGCAGTCACCCCTCAGCCCAGGGGCCCCAAGCACCCCTCCCTCACACGGTGCTCCCCACAGACATTCCCCCATGAAGCACCCGCCCGACACCCCTCAGCAGAGAGGCCCCAACACCCCTCCTCCACGTGCCCCCCCACCGAGACACCCCTCAGCAGGCAGGCCCCAACACCCCTCAGCAGCGACCTCTCCGCGGGCCCCCCCCCCCA